GACTCAGGACCATGACACTTTCCTTAAACAATGTCACTCACTTATTTTACCTCTATGAGCTCAATGATGGTCAGATAATGAGCCCAACACTAAAATGTTCTGTAATCACTGCACATCTGCTCTGTAGTCACTGCACATCTGCTCTATTGTCACTGCACATCTGCTCTATTGTCACTGCACATCTGCTCTATTGTCACTCGTCTGTCTGTGCTGAATCCTCCACAAGCGCTCTTAGAGAGAAACAAACAGCAGCAGCATCCTGGAGGTCAGGCCTGGGTCACCAGATTCCAGAGGTGCTGTATGGATGAAGTTAACAATCGGCCATAAAAAGAGTGACACTGGTCTCAACACAGTACGTGTCTCACATTGTATGCTCATTCCCCCGCTGTGACATTCAACATTGTCTCAACAACACAGTGTAATAGCATAACCAACACACAGCCTGTAAACACAGTGTCCTCACACAACATCAGTTACCCAGAAAAGGTTAAAGGTTAAAGTCTGCAGGGCCCACTCTCTCATGTGACCCTAAAATCTCCCCCTCTGGTCTCTGTCATCCTGCAATAAAGAAACACACATCCATACATCCACCCTTTGTCACATCTGGGTGGAGGTGCAATCCTGCATGTTGGTGTTAAGTCAGTCAACTTCTGTCAAACTTTTGTCAGCCCAGTCAGTTCCCCATTTTTTTATTGTTCATTGCTGATAGTAGAATCTCGTCGCATTTCGTTCCCACTTTCAGCAACATGACGCCACTTTAAAGAAAAAACAATCCTTTTAAACCGGACTCGCTCTCTGATTGTCCCAAATAAGTGGCTTTCTCCCGAGCCCATTTTAATATGGAAAAGCTCACTTTGCGACCGTTTTCCCGACAACATGTTGTGTAGCGCTTTCTGTTCTAATCGTGCAGATCTCTCAAACGACAGAGATTATCTCAAAACATGCATCCATCAGCCACACACCTCACAAAATAACCCGAATATCTTATTAGATCATGAGTGTATTCTCATGTAACCAGTGTGTGCCATGTTAAAACTTTCCTCCACACATGAAGGAAACAAGAAACTCAACAACCTATCAGCCTCACTCGTTCAGACCCCCCTTCATAATCTAATCATCTGTCCTACTATAATATTAGTCCAGTGGTCTGTGTATCACTTCTCATCTTACTAAGTGAACTGGACAAGATGACAAACAGAAACATGCTGAAGATGCTGTCTGGTCTTCATGAGTGTATGTGTTAGTGTGGTTAATGCATTTTCTGTTTGTGTGATTTTGTGTACCTTTCTCTCTGCAGTGTCTCAGACTCCTCAATTTTCCCACTTAAAGCAGTCATTTTTCCTCCCAGGTTCGCCAACCCAAATGTAGTTTCCCACTCTAAACAACAGCATTCCTCTGGGTCCTCACCTGCTCCGTCCACTTTGGTCTCCTCTCCCCCTTGCAGCATTCCAGCTTCAGCGTTGTCCTGTGCAGTCCCCACTGTCTCGTTCATCACCATTTCACTCCAAACATGGAAAATGTCAAACTCAGACAGTCTTCTCAAAGACCAGTCAGACGCAGTGAAGTTGCAGCTTGCTGGAAACGCATGTCCATCCATCCAATCAGAAGATGGGTTCCCTTTCTCTCAGCACATACTGCTGCTGCTGGGTCTCTCTGCTCAAGACTCTGCTGTTGTCTCTTGGACTGCCATGTTGTTGCTTTTTGGAACTACATTTCTTGTCTTCGAGGAGAAGTTGGCGTCCTTGGAGCTCGCTTTTCAGGATGAGGAATCAGAATCAGAAACACTTTATTTATCCCCAAGGTCTAATTAACACATAGAAGTGAAGCTGTAAACAATTCAGTCAAAACTCGACCTGAGTGTTTCTAAAGATGTCAACCTATAATTTTCTTCCGACTGCTGCATGTGGAAAATTGATCCAGGTCTGTTTCCTCATCTGCAAGTGACACTGAGAGACATGTTCATCATTCTTATCACTGCTTAAATAAGATGCCTCCCCTCTCTGGTTTTAAACTCTCCTCTCTTAAACCCAGAAAATGAGATTGTAGCTGTTCTAGGCTGAGAAACACAAAACCATCTTCATATTATTATTGCTTTTTTTACATCAACAACTGTTATACACAGCTTTGTGTCCACCCTGGGGGAGCTCTGGGTTCACATGGGTCCGTGCATCCAGAGCTGAGGATCCTCAACAGACCTGAGGGGTGATGGAGATGTAGTCTCTACACGTATAATGTAGCCTGTAATATGGACAGTATGACAGTTCTCAAATATGCAGACAACATGGTCGTGCACCCGACTCTAATAGCCTGGCAACATGTTGTCAGCAAGTGGATTTACTCATTTGCTTCTTCGAACTGAATGTTTCAAAACCAAGGAGCAGTGCTGCTGTTGAAGAGTCACTCCTGACGAAGTAACATCTCACACGCTGTTTCAGCGCCTGGAGGTCAAAGGGCAGGTGGTGCAGCAGCTCAGTGCCTTTAGGTACCCGAACAGTGAGGAGACTCAGAATACTTTATTCATGCCAGAGGAAACTTTGCAGTCACAGTTGCTCCAAGACAGTAAGGACAGTAACTAACAAGTTACAGTACCCATAAAAAATTACAGTATATTACACAATAGTTCTAATAAATAAATAAAATCCCATTATCTTACAAGAGAGTGTAATAAAGCTGAAATTGAGATGCCCTCTTAGACTCTCCTTTGTAGAGGATGTGCAGCTGTTGCACATTAGATGGACGTAGCCACAGGCAGGAACTATCTTCTGTCTCATTTGGGTAAATCTGTCTCTCACTGAGCATGCTCAGCACATCACGGAGTGGGTGGGAGGTGTTGTCCAGCAACCTCCATGTCTTGGACAACATCCGTCTCTTTGACACCATCTTGGCAGAGTCCACCTCCGTCCACACAACGTTACTAGCCTGGTGGATCAGTGTATGTAGTCCCCTCGACCCATCCGGGTAACAGCTGCTACTAGACGAATAAATTCTCACCAGGAAAATTCATGCATGCAACGTAAGAGTTCATCCTGACACTAGAAGAACTCATGTTCGTGGACTACCTTGACAGCCGAGTCAGCCAGCAGTCAGGCGGCTAATGTTGGTCCAGAACCGCTAAGGAGCTCTTGTGAGTTTTCACGGGGAAGAAGGCAAGAATGCCTGGCTGTTATACTGGGAACTGTGGGACCATGTGCCTGTCTCACCTGAGAGCACTTCCTGAGTTAGAACGAGAGTCAGTGAGTCCTCAGCAGACCATAGTGACACATCTCACATAACACGTTTATGTTTTGTTTCTCCTTTGTTCAGGCTACAGCTGGGATATGGTTCATATGATGGAGAAGATCTGTAGAGACCTTAAACATCCCGTAACATTCCCAGTACGTGCAGCTCTGCTGGCCAAGTCCTTCTCCCAGCTGACATGGCTGCTGAAGCAGTCAGACAGGTGAATGTCGGCCACATCGGACCTTTTTCTCGGAACAACACCACAAACATGCAGTGGCTTCTTTGCTGTCTCCTGGTTGTCTGAAGAAGCCATTTATATGCTCGATATCAGTAAAGGAGAGCAAATCGAAACCAGCAAACTGTATTCATCTAATTAGTCTCATTGTGGATCAGAGTTAGTCAGTAGGCTGCAAACAGTCACAGTAGTTTCTCCTTTTTACTTCTCACACATGGTGTGGGACACAGCTGAAGCGTTATGTTACCATATAATCATAAACTGTCCTGTTAGCTTCTTAGATAAGATCTCTGTCTGCCAAGCAGTGAGAGAGAAAGTGTCATCACTGGACAGAAGCATGTGTGCATCACAGTTTAACTCGATCCACACGTCTCATAGTTGTGATTTCATTGGACCATTTTAATGTTTCAATGCCACAAAGTTAGATTTTCATCTGTTGTTACAATAAAGTCAAAAAAAATCAGAATAAAGTCAAATGGGCGGAGTTTCCAAAACCATTCTGACATATGTTAATACCTTTTTTCCTTGACATTGACAGGTACACTCTAACTGTGTGGACGGGCCACAGTGATGAGTTCTCACTGCAGGACTTGCTGCCCTACAGAGAAGAGTTTGCCACGAGCAGGATTTACTTTGACCTGCCAGACTCTCTGAGAGCACGGATCATTTCAGCACAATAAGCAAATATGAATCCAGTGAGACGTTGTCTGGCTGTGACATTAACTGGTGCACCTGCAAGTGAAAACTAACTTCATCCTGAATTTATCTGAAGCTCACTTCCTGTTAAAACAGAGTTCATCCTCCCCATGGTCACCGACTGCTTGCTCATAGGAATCGTCTATTCATGAGGATCCTCTGCGGTACTGTAAGGTGTCTGCCTCACAGTATTAAGGCCATGACATTAATGTTACTGGGGCTGGTGCATTTCAAATCAAAAGATGCTCTAAGCCCTCTTGTATGTAATATTTTCTGTTTTCTCTACCGATTCTTTTTTTTGGGTGGGATAAAAAAATCTGCAAATCAGCCGAGTCCAGTCACGTTGTGTTTTTGTTTGTTTGTTTTTTAAAGAGTGTTAGTCTATTTTCAAGTGGGACGAATCAGACAGTTTCGAGCAGAAGGGGGCTCTTTCCCACACAGGTTGGACTTTCCTTCACTTACACGGCCTTTTGGCTGTGCCTTTGTGTCTTTCAGATTCTCTTAAAAATATATTTAGTTCAAGTTACACTAGATAACAAAGTGCATATGAGGAAGGATATTATACCCCTTCAAACGAGTGATTCATGACCCCCAATAAAATGATTTATGAGTAATAAAGGACGTAATAAAACAAATGGCTGTCATAAAAATATGTTGTTAATAAAATTATTAATAACATATTTTTAATAACATGAAATTATCATATTAATAAAACTATTAGTAAAATAATCATATTTCATAACTCATTCAATAATTCAAAAGTTATTTGATTATTAAAAAATCTAGAAAAAAAATCAATTTTTAAGCCAAAAGAAGTTTATTTTTTAGATTTTTTTATGGCCAAAAATGCCGTGTGTGTGTGTCTGTGTGTGAAAATGTGTTAAACCATAGTTCTTAGTGCTTAGTTAAACTTGTGCTTTTGTAATATTTAGAATGGAGATACAGGCTGCATGCCACGATGGCCCCGATGGAAAGCTTTATTACTATTTATTTCCATTTGTTTAATACGAAATAGGAAATTCACAATCAAAGTCCGAGTCACAAACTCTCACGATCCCAAAAACCCCCCAGCATCTCCCGTCTATCCCCCAAACCTTAGGCAAGTTAACAGTGTTCTCCTGAAGAAACCCTCGGTCTTCCTCCAAACTCACAGCACTCCTAACTTCTCACATCCAGCGCACAGCCGAAACTGTCCGTCTTACTCGCCTCGTCTCAGCTCCCGAGTGATGCTTACCTCTTTTTTGAAACTTTGTGCCCGAGACCAACTCCGCCTCATAGGCGCGCCTAACTTCGCCCGCTACCAATCACATATCACACATATGCTCCTGGTGAGCATAAGATGTCTGATATCAGCTTGGCATCTCAGTTATAAATGAAATTCAAAATGTTTTTGGAAGTATCACTAATGTATAATTTGGCTTGTGAGGTACACACAACAAGGCCTAGAAGAAAAGGGGATAGTTTACTACGTGCTATAAAAACACAATCTTTAATCTTTGATTGTGAGAAAAGGGTAAGCTGGGACAAAATACAGCATTATACAAGCAATATGTTTTGGCTGCATCCGTAGATCTAAGACATAAACCTGTTATTAGTCATTAAAAAGAAGTTAACTGGAGTGCAGCTTTAATTTAAAATTATTTCATGAACTGTCCAGCAATTACAGACTGATATGCTGATATAGTGTATGAGTGTATTGGCTGCATATGACAAGCCTTTGTAAATCATTAGTAATTACTCTTGCATAGGTGTTTTGCTTGTTTTAAATTTGTGCACTATTTTTGTATTTTTCTAATATATCTCTGATCCACGTTTTCTTACTGACCGTTGTGCTCCTGTAACGTGAATTTCCCGAGTGTGTCATCAATAAAGTCTGTGTCTATGCCAAACCTAAACTTTAAACTCCTTTTTTTAAATTTACTAAGATTTCTGGTTTGCAGCTAAGACTGTGACATGTTTTCACCATTTGCAAGCCAGAAGAGTGATCGCTCTTGAAGCCTCGTTGTTGCACAATACTAGGACTACTGGTGCTACTTCTAGTACTAATGCAGCAAGACACTTGTTTCCTTTTCTCCATCAAACATTTCTTTCAGTAATTTGTGTTTATCAGAGCGATGTGTGACTATTTTTTTATTCAATAACCAGAAAGTACACAAATACAAGATTAAATAATTTATTTATCAAAGATACATAATTACACATTGATACAATGAACTAAGTGTCTATAACAATTACACACAGTGTAAAAAAATTATAACATTATAACGTAGAAATAAGTGTTTTATGTCATAAGCCACCCAGTGCCATAAGCCACCCCCTCTATTCAAAGAGGGTTGGCCTCGACCCTCAGCCATCATTAAATAGTTATAATACAAACCGCTGCAGTGCAGTACCTGTAATCTGGTCTTTAGGTCTGACCTCATTAGCTGTTTCCGGGTTCAAACTCAGCTTCAGGTCCCAAAGTCAAATGATCACTGCAGCATTACCGAGACTTAAAAACTGTTTAAATTCTTTCATCTTTAATAAAATGATCAGTGTTGCTGCTTTATCAGGTGTAACAATTAAGTTTAACATCCAGGCATCCATGAAAACAGGATTTATGAGTTTTTACTGAGTTAGAAGTTAGCAGGAAGTTAGCAGGAAGTTAGCTCGCTAGCTTCACTTCCAACATAAATGAAGACAGAAAACTAAACAGCAGTGACGTTTGTAGGGTTACTGAAGTTGGGCTAGCTGGTA